CGCGAAAACAAGATACAGGTTGACTATGTTTCTACTAAAGATAACATCGCTGACATGTTTACGAAATCTCTCGCGCCCGATACACTTTTTGAAGCTCATTAAACTCAGTGGAATGAACGTCCATGATTAGGGGGAATGTGAGAACTAGACGCTTAGCCCTAATTAATCATGTGACAAATGAGACATTAAAGTTCGCACCACTTACCCGGAACCAAATAGCACGACGAGTATATGAAGGGAAGAGAATTCCCTCTAGAGATCTTTTTAGAAGGTCAGTTGACACAAAAGTGGTTTTAGTTTTTCCTAAATAAAGGTTTATTTCCACACGCTAGTACATCATGTCGAATCCGATATCTCAACTGTACCAGTTGGGAACCACTTGTGGACAGGACATTGAGTTGGAATATCCTGTACTCAAGCAGAAATACAAACAAAATGCATCGGGCCTGCGAACAAGGCGTCTTTCAGAAATCTCTTTCTTCCTGGAAATTCGTTTTTTTTAATCTTGCGCAAGCCAATTGAAAAAAAGCACGACATGGAAGAACGTGCTGCATTAAACAGCCTTTCAGACGAAGTTGCCGCTGATTCTAGGGCTGCTGTACCCACTGGCTCAAACATCATGGGCTCAGTAGAAAGCGATATGCCTGATCTACGTAAAGCACTGACAACGGTGGAACCAGGGGCTGCAAACACAAAACTGGAAAAGGACACAAAAAGTGACGTTTTGAACTCGCCCGGAAATACGCAGATAGGTATTCGTGAGTCTGGCGCCACGGATAGCGGTGGGCTAGATACCCAGTCACATAACCATGGCTCGGAAGACAGAAGAAAAAGCGAAGAGGAAACGGGACCATTTCAAGAAAACAATGCAAGTGACTCAAAAGCAAAAGAAGATGCCCTTTTCACGCCCGCATCACCGGCCGTTCTGGTAGGCTCCAAAGACTGGGGACTGGAAAACGCGGAAGGCCCGACAGAACAGGCATTCCTGGTTCAGGGGGAAGCACAGAAACAGGCACCAGGCGGTGACTGCGAGCCGCTGCAGGAGCCATCTGAAGAGGAGGCCAACCCCGTGCTTGCGCAGTATATGGCGGCATGCCAAAACGGCGATCTAGCCGTGGTCACAGATCTCATATCGCTGGGTAAGGTGCGTGCACAAGACACCTTCAGCGAGGGCGTGACCGGGCTCCACTGGGCGGCAATCAATAACCGGCTTCAGGTAGTCAAGTTCTTGGTGGAAAACCCGTACAGCAGATCGGACCCCAACGCTTTGGGTGGTACTTTGGCTGCCAGTCCTTTGCACTGGGCCTGCCGAAACGGCCTCGTGTATGTGGTGGACTACTTTCTCTCGCACACAAACGCAGACCCTACACTCACGGATTCGCAGAAGTACAACGTGCTCCATTTGGCAGTGCACAGCTCGAACATCATGCTTGTGGTGTACATTCTCTTGAAGTGTGTGATGATTGACAAGTCCATCTACATCGACGAGCCGGAAAACATCCAGTGCACGGCGTTGCACTGGGCCGCATACCAGGGCGACATCCTCACCGTAAATGCTTTGCTCAAGTATGGTGCTGACGTGCTGAAAATCGACCAGTCCCAGATGACCCCGCTCCACTGGGCGTTCATGCGTGGCTACAAGTCTGTGTTGGCCACGTTGCTCGATGCTGGCTCGGACATTTTTTATGTGAACGACAAAAACAGAGACTCGTTCGGCGTGGCCGAGGACATGAACTGCGGCGCCACGTGGTCCCAGATCTTGAAGGAGGCAGACCGCAACCCCAAGAAGGAATGGGCATTGAACACCCACGCCGTCTCGCCGAAAACAGCAAAAATCGTCACCTTTCTCACGCCCTATATGACTCTCCCGCTTGTTTTCCATATGTGTTCATTCAATGCGGGTTATGCCATCCCAAAGTTGTTCTTCAGTGCGCTTGTCTTTGCCGCTTCCATTTTCTTCTTGTTAAAACTCGTCATCCCTGTCTATCTTCGCAAGGATAAAGCTCTTTTCCAAACCCCCTACTTAGCAGGCTTGTTCTCGGCCACGGCCACGTGGGCCATTGTCACCTGGTTTTTTGTTGAGTTACCCAAGCTATGGCTCCGGTCGTTTTTCACCAATGTGGTTTTTACGATGGCCAGTGCGGCATTCATTTACTGCTTCTTCAAAGCCATGACTATCAATCCAGGTGTGGTGCCTGTTCCCTCGGACCCCAGGGTAATTTTTAACGATATCAAGGAGCTTGTTTCCTTGGGCCATTTTGATACCGAGCATTTCTGTGTCAACACGTTCACGCGCAGGCCTCTACGCTCGAAATACTCTCACACGAGTAATACGTTGGTGGCCAGGTTCGATCATTACTGTCCATGGGTGTATAACGACATTGGCGTGCGGAACCACAAATTATTCATTACGTTTGTATATTGTTTGAGCGCAGCTGTCGTTCTCTTTTCTGTACTCACAGTCGAGTACTTCGAAGTCTACGCCGAAGAAGCGGGCTACACCAGTGATTTCGAGGATTCTTGTTTATTCCTTTCCGAGGAAATGTGCGTGGCTTATATGAACAAACCGTTCATATTCAACTTGATGATATGGTGCTGGATGCAAGGCATATGGATTGCGTTCCTATGTGTTGTGCAAACCTTCCAGATTGGCAAAGGCCTCACTACATGGGAGTTCAGCTCCTTAGACAAGAGAATGTCGAATCCAGCCTTCAACCACTCAACTGTGCCAGGAGACTTCCAAGGACCCAATGGTGCACAATCTAACGCAGGCAACTCCGCCAATCATGGTCACAAACATCAAAGTGGCCTTGGGACCTGTATGAAATTGCTTGGTATCGACCAATTTACAATGGCTCTAAGGGCAGGTCTGCTCCTGTTGCTCAAAAAATCAACCCATACAGACAGCTACACGTCGATTGAGAGTTTCGACATACCCACTGATTTTGGCTGGAAACAAAACTGGCTCGATTTCTGGTTCATTGGGGATATCAAATGGAGAAATGTTTTCTTCTTGCCTATTGAGGGTGAGAACAACTTGAATGGTCAAGTCGTGGACTATTACAAGTTGTATGAGTTCCCACCAAAGGCCACTGGTGCCCAGGCTGTTTAAATAGAGATCAATAGACCGAACTTAAATCAACAGATGAAAGCATAGTACATCACATCCTTGTCTGAAACAGAAAGAAATATACCAAAGATTGGTAAAGACGCTGAGCGTGACAGAGAAAAAAAGGACAATGTATCAACAATGTCTCCCATTGACCTTCATAAATGGTCATAAGAGTTGCGTAAATAAATTTACAGTGGTCGACATCACAACAAAAGGTTACTATAGTCACCAATACCTTCACAAAGAATAGAGCTTAAAGCCAAATTCCAATAAAAGATATTGCGTAACTTGTCAGACTGCCGCTTGTGCCCACCCTCAATTGAGTCTTCCGAAGAAGCATTCAAGAGAGGGTCAAGATCATCGCTCCTCTTGACGACGCACAATCACGAAGAAAGGCGCCTAGTAAAAGGCAAACAAATTGTAGATGACCAGACCGCAAAGGATCGTGGACAAGCTAAATCGGTTCTCACTTTGAGGGCGCAAGGGTATCTTACTCATCAACCAAGTTGGATTCAGTGGCTCTTTAGAAGAGTCATTGTGGAACGTGACCTATAGAAATGATCCTATGAAGTACGTCGACAAAGAAAAAAAGAAAAACCAGTAAGGGCGGAGCGATGTACCCGTTTATATACCCCAGCGATGGGCTTTGGCCGGGTAACCCCTAAAATGCTGATGAGCTTGGGCTCGCTCGCACACCGGCGACAACCCCAGATCTTACGACACCCGTACCTTCAGTATAGTGCGAGAGCACTAGGTTCTATATACGGCTTTGTTAGGGCTAAACGACATTGATAGTGCCAAAATATTAGCTTCGTGATCTGGCTATTTTCTCAAATCAACTACCGTTTCTATATTTAAACTGAACTTGAGAGCCAAAAAGTAGTTATAGAAGAAAAGGTTTCCTTATTCGCGGTTGCGCCACCATCCCAATGTTTAAGCTACCGAGCAATGCGTTTGCAAATGTGAAGTGTCCAAGTCTCGAGCAAACCGGGTGTTGCAATATCCCGAATTGCTTTTTTCGCCATGATCTGGCCAAGAGGGCGTTGGAAAAAACCGAAGAAAGCCATAAACGGGCAAAATCAGATGCCTCCATAGCTTCAGCAAACGTGACTTCCCAATCCACATTGCGTAATCCAAACCCGCAAAAGCCAGTTTCTGAGGATGTCAAACAACTTGAGCCTGTAAGGAAAGACATCCTGTTTGTGCTTCCGAAAGAATTGCATTCCGAAGTGTTGATTCCACGTATCGAAAGATCGGAAAATGCCAAAGCAATTGCAAGACTCATGCACAGCACCAAGTCCACCCCCACGCCCAACCGCCTGGCGGTAGAAAAAGAATTCAAAATCGCAAGCGAATGTGTCAATTTGGGAGATTACCGGAAAAGAATCAATACCTTTTTGGGAGTCAAGCACGACCATAGCCATGCCACGGATCCCAAACATATATTCCCCCTTGACGTGAACCATTCGCCTGCTCTTCTCCCCGTGCGCCGTAAGTTTATCCAGCTTTTTGTAGATGCCATCAAAACGCAAAATCCCTCGATGGAAACACCCGTTTGGGCGGCAATCGAGGAGGAGTTCAAGGTCGCCAGCTCCAACTCCAGCTCCACTTACAGCTGGGCCGTCAAGCGAAAACTCTACGAGATGAACCACCCAGAAAAATTAAAAAAACCTGCTTCTCGAGTACCATCCAGGGATGAGTATCTTCGAGAATTGCGCAACTTGTGTATTCCACGGGAGAAACTCAAGAAATGGGGGTTCATCATGGATATACCGGCTGCAATCGATGCTCCAGAACCCGTGCGCCACTGCAATAGGTGTAAGATGGAGTTCAAACTCGAAGAGTCCTCCAAGGCAGTAGACTGCAGGTATCACCAGGGCCGTTTGATCAAGAACGACCACAAGGTCCGTGTATATCTGTGCTGTGGAGGAGTGTTTGGAGAGACAGATACGGAACCCTGTACCAAAGGTGAGCACCACGTGTTCTACTGGACTAGTCCCGAGGAAATGCATCATTTTCTTCCCTTCATCGAAACTAAGCACGCATGGGGAACGCGGAAGGGTAGTCTTGATGCTGTTGGAATCGACTGTGAGATGGGATTTACCACTCAAGGGTTTGAGCTTTTGAGAATCACAGCAATTGATTTTTCTTCGGGAGAGGAAGTCTTGGATATCCTCGTGCGGCCCAAAGGAAAAGTGCTCGATTTGAATACCCGGTGGTCTGGTGTGGCCGAAATTAAAGAGGAGGCACTTTCCTTCGAGGATCTGATCACCTTGTTAGGCGAGATTGTGGATGCCAATACGGTCATGATAGGCCACGGGTTGGAAAACGACATGAACGCTATGCGGCTAATCCACGAGAACATCGTCGACACGGCTGTGCTCTACCCAAAATATAAGACATCACCCACGTTTCGGTTCTCGCTCAAGCAGTTGAGTTTCCAATACTTGGGTCGTGCGATTCAAGCTGGCGAGCATGATAGTGGAGAAGACTCGTTGGCAGCGATTGACGTGACAAAGTACTTCATCAAGCAAGATCTTGAGCGCGCTTGGAATGGACATAGTTGAGAGGTGCTTAGAAAAAATCTACACTGCAAAGAAGTGTGTCTTCAAAGTCGTTGTATTAAGACTACTCGTATAGCTTTAGCCGTGGGTTTTTTGTGTTGGCAACTGTTTTCTTACAGCTGGCAGTCTTGCCTGACTGACAGTAAAAGATTCCAGACAAGGGAATGTGCACCACGGCTTTCGCCGCCTCGAAGACTGTCAGAAATTCAGGATTGAGCTTGTTGAATGTGCACTGCTCGGGCACCGTGACCAGCACTTGCAAATTTACCTGCAAGACTTTCTCTTGGAAAATCACTTGCATCAACTGGTGGTAGCCCGACTCACACTGCAAGTCATAGTTGAGATCGGTGAAGTCGTAGAAGTGGAAGTCGAAATCTGGAAGGTCTTTGATATACGTCTCGGATTTTTGAAGCAACTCGCTCGAGAGTCGATTCAAAGTCCCGTGCACAGAAACGTGGAAACTGGGCGATGGCTCCACCACCTCAGCAAAGCGTGTGTTCAAATTCAAACTACAGGGGGATGCGGGGTACTCGTGGTGCACCAAGGAAAATGATTTGATGAAGTAGCGGATGTTGGACTTTTCGACGCAGTAGGGATCGCTTGTATACTGTAAGGCAATGCTGCCAAAGTTCAGGATGTAATGTTGGTTGGCGTTATCACGGAGGTTATATGCTTCTGAGTAGAATCCATAGAGCATGGTACTGACCAATTTGGCGTCGTGGGTTTTCGTCGATACCTTATGGATCGGCTTCTGTGCAACAAGAAGCCCGTGAGCGAGTGAGACGAGAAACAAGATTATCCATAGCATATTGAGCAAAAAAGAGCCGGTGTTGTCAAAAACATGTACGAAAAGATGAAGGGCCCATGCGCAAAGTGAGTGCGGAAATGGGTGCAAACTAAAGCTATCGCTGAGGGCTGGGCCAGAAGTGCAACTCAGCAAGGAACGTGTATTTCGTAGGGTTTATTATTGATTTGGGTGCTAAGGGGGGCGGAAATTTATTTCTCATCATTCATTTCCACCCGAAAAATTCGATTACATGAATGTATGTCTGAGTTGAGCATGCACGCAGCTAGTTCTTTCATTTCCTTACCGTTTTTGGAAGAACTTTGGCCAATTCAGTGTCGAAATTAACCCTCCTTTTTCAAATTTAAAATAAAGGCTCACGTATTATATACTCTGGTTAATATGTGTGTGAACGAGCGGATTCTATTAACTTTTTTAATTTTTAGAAAAATTGTCAAATTTTTAAAAAACAATAACACGTACGAAGCGCAATTTTAAATAATCTTCATTGGTCTAAAAGGCATAGATAAACATTCCAGAATATGATAAAATTATCTATAAAATGGTTTGAGAATCTGCCAAAGTATTCGCCAAACGAAGCAGTGTGTGTGTATGTAGACAGTTGGGAAAATCAAATATGAACGTATCAGTTTTCCTTTTGAAAGCTTGATCAATCGGTCAGACATATTCCAATAGACAAAAAGACAAGAATCCGCAAAGAGAACAAGGGTTATATATAAAAATTGGTTAACTGCTGCACACCTTGATACTAGCTGTGTATATTCTACACCGATATCATCTAATTTGTATGAAGCAAATTACATTGACCGACAAGTCTCGAAGTGAGAGACTTGTGAAAAAAGAAAAAAAAAAGGTTTTCGCGAACCTTTGAGCTTTTTTCAATCATGACAGTGCTCATACGCTTCAGAATGTGTGGCCAAATCAACTCCATCATGGACTGGGCAATATAAGCTTCAAGCGTATTCCCAACACTGCAACCACCGAAGAAGAGATCACCAGTTATCAAAATTTAAGGAAACACAATATATTACGTGAAGAGTATTGCAACTTATTTATAGTCCCGCGCCTAGTAAATTGTAAAGAATGTACCAATTTTTGATACGGGCATATCAGAGTGGTTGTTGGAGACGCGAACTTTCGCCTATTGTCTCATGCCAGCCCCAGCCCCAATAATTCAGTCAGTGTACATACCTGCAACATGGAGGATTCTCAGGATTGTATCAGCCCGTTGGGTTTGCGGCTCATTTTCCTTGCATTTTTGTGTTTAGATTTCGATTTCAAAGAAACTAGACGCGTGTCGTGATACCAGATCTGACTTCATAGCCCGAAACGCGATTCGAGACGCGGTGCCGGGGACACGCGTGTTATGAGCCATGGCCCAAATTACAAGATGCAAATCTTTGCCCCACGAGCTTCCTACTCTCATTTCTATTTGACAACTCTAGACTTTACTCTTTAGCCTGTAATATACCCGTTTGCACAACAGATTGTTTGAAAAAGGGCTCACACTTTATATTCCTACTGAAGTCTACGGCTAGATAGACCTTGACTCCAGCTCACTAAATCTTGCTCTTTTGCGCTGGAAATGTCGAAAGTCACACCGAATAAAAAGACACAGAGTCTCAAAGGCGCCAGCTCGTCTAGCAAAAAACAGCTGTCGTTGATGTCGTTTTTCAAACCCGCAGGCGGAAAGCCCGAACACTCTCTAAGTTCCTCGCCCTTGAAGGCAAAGTCAGTCCACCCAGCAAGTGACAACAAAGAAAATCGTGCACCTTTGATGGAAAACACCATAGAACCAACATCTGAGTCTGATGTGGGGCCAACCAAGCAGTACGAAAAAAGAACCGATATGCGCTCCTCTCCCGTAAAGCCATCTAGGCCAGTGGAGAAAACGGCAAAGGCTACCGAGCTGCCCCATTTGGAAACGCCCGAAACCACGTTTTCGGCCTCAATAGACGCTACCGAGGCAGAAATCAGAAAGCCCTTGAAAGAATCTGTTGGGACAATCAGCCTGAATAACGAAACAAATGACTCTGCAGATGCGGTCCAGACGGCCATTTCAGCAGCAACACCCCGGACGCCAGTGTCCGTGTCCAAAAGGGGAAGAAAAAAGAACAATGTGTCATACACAGAATCGGATGTGTCGGACTCAGAGGAGGTGTCTGTGTTTCGGAAACGAAGACGGGTAGTGGACAGCGAGGATGAGGACGAGGATGAGTTTACGCCCGACGCTGAACACGAAGATGAAGACGAGCACATGAGCGATTTTGTGGTTGACGAAAGCGACCATAGTGTTGCTGAGGAAGATGCTCAGGATTCTGAGGATGAACCTATTGCCAAGAAGAAGCCGTCCAAAAAGTCAGCATCATCGCTGTCCACACCAGTTTCCGGCTCGTCGAGACCAGCGTCTGGAGGGTCCTCTTTGGGCCTGAAGTTTACAGCAGGCTCCAACTATGTAGCCAGTTCACCTGCGAACATTTCCAAGTCGATCGTGAAACCTTCATCTACCAAGAAATCTTTCGAGAAAGAAAACGAAGAGAGATACCATTGGCTTGTCAACATCAAGGATGCAGAGAAACGTCCTGTTACCGACCCTGAGTACGACTCCCGCACGCTTTTTATCCCGCTGTCTGCGTGGGCGAAATTCACTGCTTTTGAGAAGCAGTACTGGGAGATCAAGAGCAAGATGTGGGACACGGTGGTGTTTTTCAAGAAGGGCAAATTCTACGAGTTGTACGAGAACGATGCCATGATTGCAAACACAAAGTTCGACCTCAAGATTGCGGGTGGTGGGCGTGCCAACATGAAGCTTGCGGGCGTTCCTGAAATGTCTTTCGAATACTGGGCCAAGGAGTTTATCAGTCTTGGATACAAGGTGGCGAAAGTCGACCAAAAAGAAAGCATGCTAGCCAAGGAAATGCGTGGGGGCGGCAGCAAAGAGGAGAAAATCATCAAGAGAGAATTGACCGGCGTCTTGACCGGAGGAACCTTGACTGACATGGACATGATAAAAGACGACATGTCCACTTTCTGTATGGCCATCAAGGAATCCACCAGCACAGATGGCAAGAAGGTTTTCGGCGTATGCTTTGTCGACACAGCCACATCCGAATTGAACTTTATCGAGTTGGTGGATGATGACGAGTGCACCAAGCTTGACACATTGATCACGCAAATCAGGCCCAAGGAGGTGTTGTGCGAGAAACACAACTTGTGCTCTTCTGCCATAAAGGTAATCAAGTACAATGCTCACAGCTCCCATCAGATCTGGAACTTCTTGAATCCATACTCGGAATTTTGGGACTACGACACGACGCTTGAGAAGTTGGTTGAGAGCAGGTACTACGAGGCTGTTGACCTCGATGATTACACAAACTACCCCAGTATCTTGCTCAAATTCAAGGACGATCACCACACTGCCTTCTCTGCCTTTGGTGCTCTCTTGTACTACTTGAAGTCGCTCAAGCTCGATGAAAGTATCATGACGTTAAAAAACATGAAGGAATACCAAATTTCTAAAAGTTCTGCGTCCCACATGCTTTTGGACGGCATCACTTTGAACAACCTCGAGATTCTTAACAACAACTTCGACGGTGGCGAAAAAGGCACCTTGTTCAAATTGCTCAATAGGGCAATCACGCCTTTCGGCAAGCGGATGATGAAACAATGGGTGCTTTATCCGTTGATGGACGTTGGACAAATAAACTTACGCTATGACGCAGTGGACTTCCTCATGAACAATGAGCCCGAGTTGCGTGTCGCTTTAGAGTCGGCCCTCAACAAATTGCCAGATTTGGAAAGATTGATTGCAAGAGTTCACAGCAACTCTCTTCGCTTCAAAGACTTTTTGAAAGTCGTGGAAGGGTTCGAGACAGTCTCGAAAGTCTTCAAGACTATGCTGTCGTACGATTTACTGCTGGCAGGAGTCATGAGCTCATTTGTTTCTCGTTTCCCTTCTGATCTTCATGCCATAATTGCATCTTGGGAGGATGCTTTTGATCGCGAGGAAGCCCTCAATAATATAGTGGTACCTGCAGAAGGTGTTGATGATGATTTTGACGAGTCCACGGGTATCATTAAACGCTTGGAGTCAGAGTTAAACGACCACTTGAGGACTTATAAGAAGCAGTTCAAGTCACATGAGATTTGTTACCGAGACTCGGGCAAAGAGCTCTTCTTGATTGAAATGCCAATCAAAATCAAGAACGTTCCAAAGGACTGGCAGCAGATGGCTGCAACATCGAAAGTCAAAAGATACTGGTCTCCCGAGGTCAAGAAACTCGTTCGAGAGCTCATGGAACAAAAGGAGCTCCACAAGGTGGTCTGTGAAAATATCCGGTCCAAACTTTACCAACGTTTTGACGTAAATTACAAGACATGGGTGTCAGTGCTCAAGTCTGTGGGGTACTTGGACTGCCTTATCGCGTTGACAAAGACTTCGGAAACAATCGGCTTTCCCTCATGCAGACCCAGGTTCACCGACTCGGAACAAGGCTCTTTGTCATTTGAGGAGTTGAGACACCCTTGCTTTGTTGGCAGCTCGGAGTTCATTCCCAATGATATACATTTAGGCAATGGCAATGCCAACTTCGGGCTCTTGACCGGAGCTAACGCTGCAGGGAAATCAACCTTGATGAGAACGACAGCGTTGGCAGTCATTTTGAGTCAGATCGGCTGTTACTTGCCAGCACGTGAAGCAGAGATCACACCCGTGGACAAAATTATGACCAGATTGGGTGCCAATGATAACATCATCCAAGGGAAATCCACGTTTTTTGTCGAGCTTTCGGAAACAAAGAAGATATTAAGTAACGCTACGCAACGGTCTCTTGTTATCCTTGACGAATTGGGAAGGGGCGGCTCGTCGAGTGACGGCTACGCCATTGCTGAAGCAGTGTTGCATCACCTCGCTTCACACGTGCAGCCACTCGGCTTTTTCGCCACGCACTATGGTAGTTTGGGGCTTTCATTTGTCAACCACCCAAAAATCAAGGCGTTGAGAATGGGCATTGTTGTGGACAACTCGTCGAGGAACATCACATTCCTATACAAGCTCGAAGAAGGCACTGCGCCTGGCTCGTTCGGAATGAACGTTGCGGCAATGTGTGGGATCTCGGCGGATATTGTCGACCGTGCCGAAATCGCTGCTAAGGAATACGAACAGACATCGAAGTTGAAGCAGGAACACGACAAACAACATGCCAACCAATTAAGTTTGGGTCTACAGAGTGATTTTGTGTGGCTCTACCAAAGGCCTACCGAGCTCGAAAAAGACATATTGAAGTACGAGGAGCAAGAAAAGCAGAGCGCTTTGACCAGCATGTTCAGCATGATCGAATCGCTTTGAGGAGTAATGTGACTGGCCAAAAATCTAGCGTGCGCGGATTTTCGGAATCTCTGGTGCCTCACAATCGCGTGAGACATGAGCAATATTAGTTCCCATATCTTAATACACTGGAGCAGAACTTCCAAGCTATCAACAATTTGCTAGAACCACGTATAAAAATGTTTTCGACCTCAGCAAAAAGCGCTGTGAATGTGATTCTTTTTTCTGTCGCCTTTGGAGGCGGAGTCATGCACTCCTTTATTGTCTCGCCTATTGCTTTCAAGCATTTGCCTCGAGAGGAGTTTGGCAAGTTGCAACATCAGGTGCTTCCTCTTTATCTCTTGAGCCAGGCAGCCGCCCCTGTTTTGTTGAGCTTGACTACCCCGCTCGGATCGAAATTTGCCACTCCCGTCTTGGCTGCATCAGCAGTGGCAGGTGCCTTAAATTACTTCTGGGTGTTGCCTCGCTGTAACCAAATTAAGGCAGAGAAAAAGAAGTTGGTTGATGCAAAAAGACACGAACAGATCATTGACGGAAACACAGTGGAAACAGAGGAATTCAAGGCGTTGAGCAAGCAGTTCGGCAAGTTCCATGGAATCTCGTCTCTGCTCAACTTGCTTTCGTTGGTGACCCTCGGAGCATACGGCGTTGCCTTAGGCCGGCGTATCTTATAGGCTTGAAGCCATGTTCAACATGTGTGATGTCGGAACTCTAAGCTTTGTAAAAAATAAATTGCAAATATATACGTGACTGTACCGAACCCGTCTCCTCACATCGTGGCATCTTCGCTCAAGCCCGGAGACTAAAGACTCTAAAAACTCATTCATTCTTTTTTTCCGCAATAGCAGGCCCATCCACGGTACAATAAATTCTGGGGTGCACGACCTTTGCAAGAAAACCAATCGATACAATCATGGTACAAATCAAGGTGGCCAGGTAAAAAGCTAGCGTAGACATAGGGAGCTCAGGGTCAAGAACCCATTGCCTCATGATGTATGCATAGTTGAAAATGATGATGACAATGGCACAGAAAGAAGCAACACAAAACTTCAAGTCCTTTAAGCTGTCGTCATCAAGCCCAATAAGAGCTGGTATAGTCTTTTTAGTAGATTCTGATGACATTTTGTAGGCACGCTCAAGCGATCGGAAAGCAGGGATTCACTATGGCAGCTTGGCTTTAAGGTATGTCGGGATTAATCGTGGTAGATTTATACTCTAGACTCCTCATCATCATGAAGCTCAAAATTCCGACACCTTGCACTCGACGCGGCGATGCCCCATAGCGCGGGGAAAACGATTCACTGATCTCCGTTTTGTTTTCGTTTATGCAAGTACCCGTATGGGACATCGTCAACTTTAGTGTAGCTTGCTCCCATTATACGAGGATTTTCAAAAGTAAATGAAAGTGTCTTGATTTTAAGGTTAAATATTGAGACGCACAAACAGCCCTTGCGCCAAATGATTCTCCCATGCCTAGTACGACTGCTACTGGCCAAGAATCTATGCTGACCGTATGTCATCAGCTCACAAACGTCTATTTCCTCCAGGGACCCTTATGGAAAGATACTTCATGATAAGATTTTTGCTTCCTCGTCAATCAAATACTTTCGGATCTGTGACATGCTGCAACTGAGTCTTTTTAATATGATCACTTTGATATTCTGATCGTACAACATCTTCATCATCAACTCCCCAATTCGCAAGACATAAAGTGTCTTTTCCAAGTTGTAGGCGAAAGCATTACTGCGCTCATCGTGACGCCCATGTGTCTTTGGGGACGCATTTTCCAAGCGCATGTCATTAGTGTTGCCAGGCAAAAGAAGAAAAATATTGGCCATCTCGGCCTGAAGCTGGCGATTTTCGAATTGCAATCGCAAATGCTCTTCGAATTTTCCCAAAACATTGAGTAAGTTCAAAAACGTTTGATTGAGTTGCCAAGTCTCATTGAAGTTATGACCTTGGGCGGCTTGAGTGGCAGGATTATTTCTCTTCGCAACGTAGACAGCAAAAATAGAGTAAATCAAAAAGACGTGAAAAATCACTTGTGAGTTGATCGGTGAAGTGTCACAAGATATTACATCCAGGACCCTTAGTCCAAGAGACTTTTCAAAGGTTGACTCCGAGTTACCACTGCCCAATGAGTTTTTGTCAATTTTACTCGTGTAGCCGTCCGTTTGGAAATCATTTGCATTGCTTTTGCCATTCAAGCCAGACTCTTCAGTTTTGAACATCACCAATTTCGTAATAGCGATACAGTTATGAATAACTTTCAAGTAAGTAGTATCGCTAACAGATTCCATGTGATTCAAAAGCGCATGGTAATTTTTGTTGAGTATATCGTAATTTTTGAGCCAGCTCTGTTCTTTTACCATCCTGAAATCAATCAATGAGCAAATTTCCACAAAGTTGGCAATTAAGGCGTAATCATACTTTTCATTGCAGGACCTTCCCAGTGCCAAGTAATGAGTGTGGGGATTTCTTGAAGGTGAGTCGATGTAAAACGTAAGATGATTCAAGACAGAGCCAACATCCATGAAGTTATAGTCTTCATATTGCATGAATTCATATACTCCCTTAGCCAAACAGTTGAACCCGAATTTGCTCAAATTCAACAATTTGGAAGACAAAGATTTATCAGCATGATGCTGGCAAACACTTTTCAAGACTTCTTGGAACACAATGGTGTTTGATTCATTTTTCGCGAGGAAAAAATCAATATCCTGATGAACACCCATTGTTTGCAAGTAGTTAGAGAGTTCGTTGTAGCTGCTGAATCCCCACAAGAGCTCATCGTGCGTATTCGGGCAAGTCAAGGACCCCAACTCAGCAGCACTCAAGGTAAGCGGCACATTAAACATCATCAAGATGAAATTGGTGAGTTGATAAATCGTGAGCGCAGATCTGATCTGAGATTGCATGGCTATAGCGTGTTTGAACTTGACTTCGCTTTCGCTAGCGTAATTAAGGGCTTCACGTGCGGCATGCCAATCACCTCTCTTGGCGAAATTGTAGATAGTTTGATCCTGGCCGCTAATGGCAAAGAAGATTTCTTGATTGTTCTTGATAGAAGTCTTCACTAAGGAATTCAAAGCATTATGCTGTCGAATGACAATATGAATGTTGTTCTCGCTGTCTGAGAAGAGGCCATACAACACCGAAAGTGTAAGGGATTGTATAAGCCAGAGAGGGTTGGATTGCTGGCCCGAGGTTGAAGCCTTTTTCCCGGTCTTCCTGCTCTCCAAATAGATGTGGACTGTCCTGCGTGACGCCTCATACAACTGATCCAGATCAATTTTGTTGTTCGCTAGCAACGCGCCCAAAGTCGCAGCCAAAAGAGGAAGACATATGCGAGCGCTTTCATTTTGAGGATCCTCATCCGATGTCATGTCCATTATGTCAAACTCATTGAGTCTGGATGGATGGATGAACGGGAAATATGACAAGAACCTCTTGATGAATGTCCGCACGTAGAATTCCAATTTCTCATTGGTGGGGATGCATGGAGGCGGCACATCGCTGATGGGGTACTTATTTAAGGTGCGCTTGATCAAGTATCTCATGTTCCTGGTGAAGAGGGACGTCTTGCTGTGGCCATAGTCGAGGAAGTTAGCGTTTTCGAGTTGGTCTTCAATCGGCATACGGGACTCGTTCCCTAGGTGGGAGTTCTGTTGGTATTGTGGTTTTGCAAGGAGTTGAGGGTTCGCCGCGTGCATGTTGGAGGGCGATGCTGAAGCGTGGGAGGACATGGATTCCAACCCCGTGGAGGGAATCAGAGGGTTGTCTCCATAAAAGGAGTAGCCCCCCAAAAGCGTCTTTCCGCCATCGTTGAAGAACTGGTCAAGATCGTTGATGTCATCCAAGTGATTGAGGCTGAAATCCCCTTGATTGGCCATGTTTTCGGGCACAGACATGGTCTTCATCGAAAAGGGATGCAGGTTATCCAAGTCCATTAGGTCATCTTCCAACTCATGTCGTATTGGAAACAAAGACCGAGTCGTGCCTGGCTTTGGCGCGAGATTGCTGACGAAAGAGTCCGGGATATCGTAGAACGAGTACCCCGTGGCGTCGAACTCGTGGTTCACGCGCGGACTGCCATCTGGATTGGCCGGGTTGCCCGCAAAGCTGGAGCAGTGTGCCATGAATGGCGGATGGGCACTCGCAGGCTCGATGTTCCCCGTGGGGCTGCTGGAGCCAATGCTCTCGGAGTGCATCACGTTCTGCAGCATGCCGCCGCCGAACATGGCGGTGTGTTTCGGGAACTCATGCTCGAACGAGTACGCCTGGGTCTGCTCGTTGATCACGGGCTGCAGCTTGAGCGGAGACATGCCGGGAATGGCGCACAAGCTGTTGAGCCAGGAGTCCTCGTCGCTGGCGAACGACGGTAGGATCTGCGGCGTGGAGAACTCGACGTTTTCGGCGGTGCTGGACGTGTACAGCTGCGGCGGCACCATGGCGTAGTTGGGGCCCGACTGCGCGGAGAACGACGCGCGGCGGAACCCCGGCTTGCGCTTGTCGAAGAGCTGCTTCTTCAAGCCCGCGTCCTTGACCGAGCCCAGGCGCGACTTGCGCGGCGGCGGCCCTCCGGGCGAGCCCGGGGCGTCCTGGTGGCGGGCGGAAAAGGAGCCGTGGTTGAAGTTGATGGGCACCGGCACGCCGGTGCTGGGCTTGCGCGTGGCGGGGGCCAGGCCCGCGCCCGCGCCGGCGTCCTGGGCACCCAGCACGGACATGTGGGCTCTCGACAGCTTGCGGCGCATGCGGGCCACGGCGTCGTCGCAGCCCGCGTGGAGTTTCTGGGCGTGGCGCAAGAGCAAGTCGCGGCGCGAGAACTTGCGCTGGCACACGCCGCAGTCGAAGGGTCTTTCCTTGGTGTGGGAGCGCTCGTGGCGGCGCAAGTGCTCCAAGCGGGCAAACGCCCGGGTGCACATGGCGCACACGAAGAGCCGAGGCTTGCCCGACGGCGTGGTGCCCTGAGCAGTGAACTCCTTGGGCACCACGCCCTCGACCACAGAGGTCCTGTCGGCGGGGGGCTCGGGGCTGATTTCAAGCCGCGGCGGCGCGTTTGGCTGTCGCAGAAGGTCCATGGGGGCAGAGCGCTGGAGCAGGACAGGCGCGGCCATGTACCCTTGCAGAACAGGGGGCAGAGGGCCGTTTGTGTTAGCCGCCGGCACGGGGATGCGTGTTTTGCTGGGCGTCCGTGTGTCTGGCAGCCGCCGGGTGTTTGTGGGCACGGGCTGGCTAGTAGGGACGGAGTGCCACAAGCGGCAGGAAAAACGGCCGTCTATACGAGCGTGCAGTGTTCACCCGCAATCCAGGCAGAACACAGGAAGGCACGCAAGGCCGGGGACGGGGTGGCGGTCCAAACGTCTTTTGGATGGTCCGGCTGCTCGCAGAACGTGGCAGCTGTGGGGGGAATAAATAGTGGGCGGGACCCAGACCAGGTTTCTTAGTAAGACAAGACCCGCACCTGGCGCTCCAGAAAATAGGGCCGGAAGCGTACAGAGGAAACGGGGGTTGGGGAAAGGGGGGACAAGCGGGTGGCGCCGGGAACAGGGGCTGGACCGGCACTGTGCTTGAGGCTCGCTGAGGCACGCTTTTACTGGAGGGGTGCTGGTGTGGAGCGGGAGACTTTTTGCTGGGGCAAGGCGCTCGATGTTGGCGGGGAAAAAAAGAGCGGGCGGAAGCGCGCAGTGTTTTCCGCGGGCGCGGGCAGGAATAATGTGGGGGAGCGAGGGCTGCGGTGACGTATCTGGTGGGTCGATGGACGAGAGGACCAGCGGCGCCACGTTGGGCGAGAAAAGGCAGACAAGAAAGACAGACAATGGAGAGATCAATGAACGAAAATAGAGACATGAAGGACAGAAAATAGAGACATGAAGGACAAAATAAAGACATGAAGGACAGAAAAAAGACATGAAGGACAGAAAAAAGACAAAAAAAAAACCAATCAAGTCAAAGAAAGTCAAATATTCAGGATATGGAGCGACGGCGCCGGGACTCTGGCGTGTGCTGTCTGAAGCGGCGGGCAAGCAGAACCCATGTTTCCTGCCGGGGCCTGCCTTTGCCAACAGCTGAAGACAGGGCACGTTCAAACGATGACGGTCTGCATTGTGCGGATCGCGGGCATGCAGCTTGCGGGCGCGGCCTGGAATATGGGGCCGGGGCCAGGGCGCCCAAAAGTCCAGGGCCCAAAAAAAGGCCGTCTTTTGCCAAGAGCCGCGCGAAGCCACGGACGCTTGCAGGAACAGCAAGCGCTCCGCTGGCGGTATGGAAGTGCAGTGCACGGGCGTTTCTTAATATCACCGGGGCTCAGGTGTTTTCTTGTGGGTGTGCTGCACAAGACGGTCATGAATCCAGCTTCCGGCGGGGTGTGTAAAGGGACACTGATGTCTTTTTGCTGAGCATCAATCATGTCTTTCTGCTGAGCATCAGTAATTTTTTTGGCTGAGCATCAATAATTTTTTTTGGCTGAGCATCAGTTTGGAGAATTGCGCGGCCACCGGCACCTCAAACATTCTCCGGAGAAGTCGCCGAAGAAGTCACCGAAGAATCCACCGACAAACTTAGGGGTCCACTTAGCACGTGATTTTTTTAAGCGCAACGTTTCTTCTTTCTTGCATGTTCTCCCTTTGATTCACCTCACCACCTTCTTCTTTGAGAATCTGCTTGTAGTGGGTTTGCTGCAATATCTGCCCCCAAGCTCGTATCCGTTTGTGGCCCAACTAATCGCTTCAACTCATTGATACTGTTCCGGCACTCACTCACACGCTTCGTATTCCGCAGAACATCTGCCGGGCGGATTTTTCCCAATGCGTCCAAGTCAGAATTAAACTCGGCACTTCCATGCTCCTGCACCCGCCACTGCTAGTCAAGGGACCATGGCTGCCCGATCCACACCACAAGCATTCGGGTTCAAAAGCCCCGAGCTCAATAGAATCTCCAGGAATATCAACAAGTCGTGCTTTTCGCTACAGTGGAAACAATAGGCCATGGCTTGGGTCCGTGTAGCCTGGTGGGTCCGGTATATAAGTCAACGGCTCTTCATACAGTGGCCATTCGTATACCGTTTTCTGCATACCCCGGATCCGGGAAATCTTGGCGCAAGAAGTCTAAAAACCTAGGGTCATCCGTTTTTTCAAGAATCCGAACGCGTGGCTTGTGGCGGAGCTCTTCATACATCCGTGCATTTGGCTCACGGGTCCTCTGGCAAACCAGGTCTTGTCTAATTTTATTTTCTAGTCTGAAGTGGCTCTTAGTAAGTCTTTCAAAAAAGATCTTGTCCCGCTTCTGTATTAGGAACTTTATACCACGTATCGAAAATCAAACCACCCAGCTTATAAAGTTTGCCTGGTCTATAGTCAATGAGACTATAAGACATTCTAGTACGACATGAATATATGCAGTGTGCTGAGTGATGCTACGAGACTTCGAGACTTGGGCTCTCCTAGATAATTGAGAGATTGCTCGAATATATTTTTTAGAATTTTCCATGCTAATTGGAAGAAGTCTTTTTTATCACAGGGTTAATATTTTTTTGACTTGGAACATCGGTATACATGGATGAAGTACCTAATTACCCATTAGTACCTCATTACCACCAGATTGTTGTATGCATCGAGGACCGTAAGTTACCTTTTAAGTATAGGCTTTGGACTTGAAAAATATTTTGGGAAACAGCCAGATGCTTCATCACACAGCCAGCCACTTTTCTGCTGAGAGGCGAGTGTGGGAATAGTAGTGTGGTGAAGTCAGTTTCCATGGCTGTCCTACCCGAATGCTTAAAAAAGAAAAAAATCAAAGCTCAAGCGTATGTCATAAAATGGCGCGACCCTCTACTAAAATGACGCTTGACTCCGCAAAGTTCAGTTTTCACTTTCCTGATTCATCGTCTGTTGGAATAGCGATTGGCCGCAGCATTACTATATTATCTGCGCGTATACGATTTGGTGCAACAGTCTGCACCTGACATCAACCCGCTTATGTTTTCAGAATAAACAAATAAGCTTTCGGCAAAAGCTCTTCTTCAGATCCACGGAGCACCAAGGAAACACGATTGATCCGATACATTTTGCCCTTCCAGTTTCAACCTACTTGCAGTAGCTTGACTCCTGATCATTCCACCGCATCAATACAAAGAGACGTATAGCCCACGCTTCAATTCTAGAAGATCAAAGAAGCAGCGCCTATATTTCAAGACTTACATTACACGATCCGAGACTAGCATTACTAGTGCTGCAGAAATAAGCAGCCCTCTGCACCAAAGACACCCAGTCACGTGACACCCGGATACTTTGATTTCCACACGTCACGTGACGGGTGGGTACTTCGCACCTGGTGTGGTCCTTTGTAAGCGTCTGACCCCCTCTTCATACCCCCACTAATCTTCGCTAAACCACCCTAATTTATCCTAATGTCGGTCATAGAAATCACTTCTGAGGATCAGCTCACAAACCTCACCACCGCCGACCCAACACGGTTGGTGGCTCTCTACTTTCACACGCCGTGGGCTGCGCCCTGCCAAACCATGAACTCGGTCATGAAAACATTGGCCCAGGCTAACCCCGAAGTTGCTTTTCTCTCGATAAACGCGGACGACCAGCTGGACATCAGCGAGCTTTTTGAAGTCTCGGCAGTGCCATACATAATCTTGACCAGAAACCAGACAATCTTGATGGAATTGAGTGGCGCAGACCCCAAGGAGTTCATTGCCGCCTTGAAACAGTTTGGTGGCTCGTCTTCTTCTTCCGCCACAAGCGCCGAGCTTGCTGCAGGAAATTCCGGCGATGCTCCAGTGGCCACTCCCAAGGAAAAAGAAGAGCCAACTGCCGAAGAACTCGAGGAGAGATTGAAGAAGCTCACGTCTGCTGCGCCGGTCATGCTTTTCATGAAAGGCGCCCCCTCCGCTCCACAGTGCGGCTTCTCGCGCCAGATTGTGGCGATGTTGAGGGAAAATCAGGTCAGATTTGGCTTCTTCGACATCTTGAAGGACGACGTAGTGAGACAGGGCTTGAAAGCCTTTTCCGACTGGCCCACGTTCCCACAACTATACATCAATGGCGAGTTCCAGGGTGGCTTGGACATCATCAAGGAGCTGCTTGAGGAAGACTCTGACTTCTTTGCCAACGCTGTGGGTGCATGATCTGTGTAAATATGAATAGATAGTGTATCAATGAACCAAACTTATGGCTTTGCTCCGGGATTTATAACTTGCCTTGCGATACAAGGATCGCGAGTTCGGGATCATCCAGAAAATCGTCGTCGCTCTCGGGGTTCTTGGGCTTGCTGACAACGTTGGACTGTGGCACTAATGGCGACACCCTCTGCGTGTTCTGGGTGGCAATCTGCATGCTTTGCGTGGCCATCTGCAATATATGCTCGTCCAAAGCATCATCAAGATCATCGTCCGTGTCTCCGTCCGAGGCAGAGTCCTCGATGGCGTCCGATTCCCCGTCCATTCCCGACTGGTTCTGTATATCTTCCTGCTGCTGGATGGTGGCATAGATGTCCTCCAGAAACTGGTCCCTGACACCAGTGCACAGCTCAAATTCGTTCTCCATAATTGGCATATCCTCATCGGCATAGATCTTCCGAAAGCTGCCGCCAATGCGGTTGTAGAGGAAGGGCTTTGGGCCATGCGTCCTGCGAAACTTGGCAGAGTTCTTGATCTGGGGCAAGAAGTGCCCATCGATCAAGTTCACGTCGGAAAACAGCATCGAGCAGCCACCCAAATACCGCACGTAGTTGCCGATCTCTCGCCGCACTTTGTTCTCCTCCTTGACCAGCTTGAAGTGGCGGGGGAACTTCATTGGGAGCGTCCGGCTCGATTTCACCGGCACCTTGCCAAGCTCATTCCGCGTGGCACGGATGGCAAAATCATGCGCCGCCTCAGGGCTGCTGAAGGTGTCGTTCAAGCTGAGACTGTCCACGATATTAGCGGCGAGCAGGAGGCCAAACTCCAGGCCGTTGTAGATGGGGTAGTTTTCCAAAAGTGCCAAGTGGAGGAGGCCCAAGTTGTGGTAGTTGTCCACCACGTTCTTCACCGACTCGTAGTCCAGTGAATATTCGCCGTTGGAAGTCTCGCCGCGTGTTTTGGAGCTCGAGTGGATCACCTTGCCCACGGCGTGAAAAAGCGTGATCTGAGACTCCCGCATGAGCTCGCTGACCTGGAATCCGTGGCTGCTTCGGCTCATGAACTCGAGATTACTGATCAGCGACCTGATATCGCCGGATTCATAGAGCACGGTGAGGGCGTCACTTGCGTGTTTCATCTTGCCAGCAAGAATGCGCTCTGACGCCAAGATGCCCTGAAGCAGTTTCTTGATGTATGTTTTCGCCACCGGCAAAAACTTGACCCGGCGAATGAGTCCGGACGCAAGGCCCGAGTTCAAGAGATCGCGTCCCAAGACCGTTTCCACGGTCAAACAGTTATCTATATTGTAGAATCCACGCTGGCCGTGGTCGCCAATGATCTCCACTTCTGTCAAGCACAAGACCACGGGCGGAAGCTCGGTGTTGGGATCGGTGTAAATCCAGTCCCGCAAGCAATGACGGAGCGAGGTTAGAGTTTCCTCATGGAAGACGTTGGGAAGGTCCTCGATCAAAACGGCACACCGGTTCCGCCCTACAAGATACCGGCACCCGTCCATGAATTCCTGGAAGTGGTGAGCCTGGCTCACGTTGTCCAAAGAAGAGTCGAGATACTCCACGTGACCCAGCGAATAGGGCACGGTTTTCCCAAGCGTTTCTTGTGCCAAGCATTTTGCCAAGGTCGACTTGGACGATCCCGAGGGGCCAGAAAGGATGAGAAGCCGGCACTGGGATTGGTTTTCGGCCATCGGCACGAAAATGTCCCGCACCTCCCTCGCCTTTTTTGGGTTTATGCTCACCTTCAGCACAGTCTGAGGCTGGTACTTCACCACCCACGGGTCGTCTTGCGGACGCGGTTTTTTTGCCACGTGCTTGGGCTCGGCATATTCTAAAGACACATCGTCGATTTCGTCGCTGAGACTATCGTCGTCATGGTCGTGGGCAAACGCTTCCAGCCTACGAACCATATATGAGCCATGCAAGATTTAGCACTGGGTGTGAAAAACCAGAAGTGCGAATCCATGCGGCCCGCGTGGACTGCGCACCAGCTACAAGACTGGAGATCGGTGCCTCAATATATGGGTACATCATGTCGTAAATCATTTCGGCTGGGTAACTCTTGTGACTCCTGGAAGAAAAGGGGCCCGGTCCACGTATTTAGTCGTCTTTGCTGTCGCAATGTCGTTGCTACATCCTCCCGTAATTTTGCTGCAATATGCCCTACGAGGCATCTGTAATAACCTGGTACAGGCTGTATTCGGGCGCTGTTTGGGCCGAGGCGTTTCCTGGAAACTCGTTAATGAAGACGTAGTTTCGCTTGCCGCTGCTGCCAGATACCGCATGGGAGCTGTGCGTGGCAAAACTGTAATTGCTCTCCGAAAACCCAAGAGGGTGCGGGAGAAATTTGAGGCCAGACGGCTCGGGGCTGGATTCCGGCTCCAGCAGACTAGCCTGGTGGCCCAAGGGGCCTGTCGTTATTTCCGCAGCCTGCACGGCATCCTCCATCCCGAGGAACTGTTCATTGTCGGTTTCCTCTCCACAGCCAAGAATCACGTCATCATAGTGGACCTCCAACTGCTCCGCGAGTTCAGGATAGCACGCCACTTCAAATTTGTGCTCCGCAGCCACATTCTTAACCACAAGGCCTCCATGCACATCGCCCGTGTGCCTTCTCCCGGGGCCTGGAAAGCTATACTGGATCATGGAATTGTGGGGAATTCTTGAGAGCTTCTCGTGGAGCTGTTGATCCTGCCGGTCATAATACTTTGAGTGCGACGGTCTGTGGGTTTTGCAGCAGCTTTTGTTGAAGAGAAATCCCGCCGATAAGGCACACGTCGCATGGTACGACTTCACGCATCTGGAAGCTGAACACTGGAAACAAGCCCCGCGCGTTACTGTTTTCGCTGACGTCTGTAGACGATTAGGCACCCGGCACACAAGGCACTTCAAGCTGCGATACGGCCTGGCAATGTTTGCTATTCCCGTCACCGTTTCCGTTTTGGAGCCTGCAGCAGGACGTGAGATTTCTACTTGTGGCAGGAACGCCTCGGCGCAAATGCGGTGCACTCGTAATGTGTCGCCAGTGCGTGGGTCATTTTGGTCGGTGTTCAAAAGCTCAAACTTCTTGAGCGAGAGAAGCCGCGCGGGGAGGTTATTAGGGCACAAAATGCACTGGAGTTCAGAGATCTTGGGCCTCGGTTTCTTTTCTGCGACACACTGCCTCTTAGCTGGAGCTATTGATGCTGATACAGGTCTCATCCTTCCCGGTGCCGACGCAGCAGCAATGGAAGCAGATTTTTTTCGGGGAACAGTTGCCTTTTCAACAAAATGCCCGGCTGGTGTGTATGGAATTCCCTTGAACTTGCAGTAGATCTGCGCATGATTGATGCCCACGGAGTCGTCGATGCATTCGCACTTCCGTGTCATTTTAGCATAGTCAAACCAGTCATCTAGCGCAAAGTTCACCGACTCGGCCAAGTTGTATCCGTAATTGAACCCTGCGTGGTACCCATACGGATATGTGATCATGTACTCGCCTTGCTTGTGCACGATCTTGTTGCAAGTGATGCCGTGCTTCTCCAAGAACTGCGGCGAGGCTAAAAACGTCTTGTGGCGCAAAAACTCGGGGCAGTTCTTGTGATCCTCGTCGAAGATCTCCAGCATAAGCTTGAAAAACTTTTTGTTTTGGCTCTGTGGGATGGAGTACCACTGCTTGGGAGCCCCAAAATGTAAGTAATTAATCGAGTACAAGTCCTGGTCCTCGAGATGCCAGGAGAATGTGGCCTTCCATAACCCAGCATATAAGTAAGCATCGTTGACGCCCGGAATCTTTTCGTCCATTAAGTCGAGCAAGTTTGGGAGTTTGGCCACGTTCCAGATTTCCATGTTTTCTCGGAATAATGACCCGAGCATATCGGCACCGTACATTGGCTCCGCGTACCCCAACGACTTCCAATAAAGTAGCTCGAGCTCATTACAGCGCTCTTGCGAGAATTCCGAGGCATCGATATTAAATTCACCGCGAAGGATTTCGTCGACTTGGCGGGGCCCGGTTGCTTTGCTGCGTCTTCTAGTATACATACGCAGTTCCGGGTCCAATTCCTCTTCTTTTTCGTTTGTCACAGACTCCGAGCCCCGCCGCTTCTTTTTGTGGGCAGGGGGCATGTTGCTGGGCTTCTGAGATAGCGCTTTCCATTGAAAGATATTGTACTTCCTTTGTCTTTCGACGTTTTGACTGGAGTATACACCCTTGTAGCCGGCAGAGGCATTCATGTTCTGCACGATGGGGTTTTTGATGGATATTTTCGAGAGATTCTCATCGGTGTAAGTTCCCTGTAACTGGGCCAGCCATTCTGGAGGGGGGATTACTTTCACTATTCCGCTTTGCATGCCATATTTGTTGATGGCTTTGTTGTACCGGTAGAAGTCTCGAAATTGCGCCATTGTTGGCTCAAAGACTGGGACACCGCCAGAGTAGTATGACGGCTCTACTATGAGGCCTGGGTCTTCTTGATAAATGTTTTGCATGTCAGTAACAATTTTTTTTGCCGTTGGCAATATTGCACATCTACCGAAACTAATTAGTCGAGCCACCGGGAGATCACCTGACAAAAGCGAATCGCGGCAACAGCCTAGAGGTCACATGACCACTAGTTCTGTGGGTCCTCAATGAATGAAGATCGATATATTGGATTTAAAAGAACCGGTGATATACAAAAAAATAAGCCTAGTTTTCCAGCCACCACAAAAATTTCGACAAAGTCCATGGCCTTCTAGCAGTTCAGTTGGACCGCATATATATGTGTGGACTTCTAGTCTTGCGTGACTAGGCTCGGTTCCAGCAATACCTCATATCCCGGAAGGAAAAAGAAAACCTGACAAGCTGGGGAATGGCCCCTTTTCTCAAGAGAGAGACAAACACCCAGCTCGGAACTCCTTGAAAATTATGGAAGACATAAATCGAATTATTGAACTGGGGGCGTGGTAGTGTTTAGCCGCAGCCGAACGGTTTCTGCAGGACCCCACTAGATAGTAGATCGAGCATGCCTGGTGGCGGAATGTGCAATCCTTGTGTTCCTCTCAGCAAGCTCAGTCTACCCTCAGCAATGGCGCAGATTAGAAAACAGAATAAACAAGAGCGTATATCAAAGTCGAGGGCAGCCAAAGCATCGGCGCTCACCGGGTTGACTGTGGCGTTTTTCCTAGCCTTCTGTTACCATGTCTGGTGGGCAGTGAATGCGTTTTATCACAACAAGTTTGGCTCGAACTTGAGCAATTTCATGATCATTGTGGGCGGCCTTGCACTAAACGCGTATCTCAGTGTGCAATTCTTGCTTCTTTGCGAAACAAAGTTGTTGAGCAATGGCATCGACGCTGACCACAAGAAGTATATTTAGGACAGATGGGGGCAGCAACAACAAGAGCAACCCGAAGGGCCAGGCCTTTTTTTAGGCAAATTTTGCATAGATATACCAATTCAACGTGCATGGGTGGGCCCACGGAGTCCTTCGTACTCAAAGTTTGGCGGATCAAATACACAGGTTTATATTCGGTACTGCCATGGCCTTTCGACCCGGTCGATTTCGGGGCTCGATGGCACTTGTAGCACAGAAGTGTTTCCTTCTTTGGACCCGCTGGTTTCATGTTCCTTCGAGAGTTCGATGATGCTGAGCTCTGCCTCCGGGTCGTCCTCTGAATCTGGGATGACGTCGTCTGACGAGTAATGATCCAGAGGAACCACCGTGAGTTGAACCCGCGTTGACATGCTGGGATCCAATTCTACACGACCAGCCACGCGTACAATTTCGGGGGACATCTGCTGTGTCCGCTTGTAGAGTGGTGAAAGCTGAAGCGGCTCGGTGTGGTCGAGAAACAGGTTTTTTGTGTCTTTCGGGAACAGCGCTTTTGCAGAAAGATATATGTCTTGGCTGGCCCCTGCTGTTTCCTGTGTGGGTGTTCCCAACTTGGGGGACGGAGCTTTTTCTGAGACGGGCGACGAGTCTATACGTTGTTTCTGGGTGAGCGGAGACGAGTCTATGCGGAGGCAGCTGGGCGTGTCGAAGGCGGGGTGATGCTGTAATTTTCGGGGCGTCGATGGGGCTGTGTTTCGCGTGCCTTCTCCAGTGCCAGCTTCTGCGGAGCCCTTGATGGGCAGGACTAGGACACTATCAGGAACTAGCTGGTGGTTCTCGGGTTTCAGCGAAGACGCAAAAACTAGACTCGTTGTCGCAGAAACCGCGTCGGGATTCCACGGCGGGCCTGGGCGAGGTATTTGGCCAAAGTTCCTCGTGGATTCACTGCCTTTTTGTTCGTTGTGTGAGAGAATGGAAGGTGTTAAGGACTCGCCCGGTAGTAGTGGCTCAACGTCCAGCTCGGAGTCCTCAATGGTCTCGTGCAAAACGCCGGAATTCACATCGGATACCAGAGGCTTGTTAGGCAGTGGCAAGGCCTTACCTCCGTATCTGGGGCTGGGATCCTCCCGCTCGTCACTCGTGCTCCTATGTTTGTTCGGGTGTATGCCCAGGTTTTCCTCGTCTGAGCATGTACTCAAGTCATTCTCCTCTGGGTGGTTTCGATCGCCTAGTGCTTGAGAAAGCGTGAGACAAGCCGGTGGTCCAGGCAGATCCTCCTGCTGGAGCATGCTTGTTTCGCTATGCAAATTGTCCTCATCCAAGTCGTAAAGCCATATGAGGTCTTCCTTGGAGAGCTCCTGGCTTGGCTGGCGAGACGCTTGCGACCACACAGATATCGAATCCTGACTGGCCGCCAGCTCCGCCTCCTTGCTTCTTAGAATATCTAGTTGTTTACTGATCGCTTTCAAGCTCTTTCTGTTCCCCTTCGAGAGATTCGGGAACTTGAGACGTAGTCTTTCGGAGAAGTCCTTCCATTCCGGCCCGGAGAATAGCAACGAGTCCTGGCCACGGGGCTTTTTCGAGAGCAAATGCGGCGTTGCCGTGGCCGCCTCGACCTCGTTCAAGAACTTATCTAGCTTTGTTTGGTCACCCAAAAACTGGTCAAGGAGCGTCTGTGGATCCGCGGGTTTTTTGCCACCCAAAGTCTCCCGAACAAACGCGCTGATCGAGTTGATCGGACGCGTAGCTTTCTTCGTGGTCTTGCGCTTAGACTTGGCTACTTTAGCCGGTTTGGGGATCTTGAGTGTTGGCGAATTGACTGCTTTTCTGAACTTGTGCAACTGTGAGACTTTCGTGTCTTTGTGCTCCTGGTCTTCATAATTGGCCTGGATCTGTGTAGATAAGAAATATAGCGCCGGATCCAGGCCGTCAGCTGGAGGTTGATTGCTCATAGTGAGCATGGAAATGTAAGAAGTCTCCCCGCTTGCAGACAACGAGAATGGGGCCAAAACGAGCGTTTGAAGATAGCTGGATTATCGGCGGACCGAAACAGATGGAGCAGAAAACGGTGCTTTTTTTCAACGGCAGCTATTTCCCCGGATTAGACAGATACAGGAACCGACACGTCTAGTTGCCATCGCGAAGCCTCGCAGAGGCATGCTGGGATGTCTACTGAGAAAAGTTGGATCTTTCGAGCACTGAATAATCTACAGAGGTCCATTGCTACCTCTGGAATCCCATGGCGTTTATTGCTCACTGGTTCTATTCTAACTAATGCGCAACGCAGATACCCGTGACCGCCTATCATAGTCATTGAGAGCGAAGCAATGCTTCGCAGCCTCTCAGTTCCACCTGGCTGTTGTATCTGAAGAGTCTTTAATTTCCCACGTACTTGTTTTTTTGTTGTAGAACGCAATTTCTTGAATTGTGTGCTTGAGAATGCTTTTCGTGTACACCTTGAACTCCTTCTTGGCCAACTCCGAAAGCGTGCCGATCGAGAAATCGTTGTTGTTCTTGATAAACTCAACAAGGTTTCCCACGATCTCTTTGTCTTTGATGATCGGCTTTTGGGGTGTGAGCACGTTGGGCGTTTGGTTCTTCTCCGGAACGTCTGTCTTGACAGGTGTCCCAAGCTGCGTTACCGACACCACCGGATTTTCTTTCAGTTCTGTTGACAGCTGCACATTCAAGTCTTTTGCCTCCTTGGGCGTGGTCCAGTAGTCTTTGAAAGGGTCGATTGGAAAGTTGATTGCTAATTGGAGACGTTCGTACTTCAATTCGTCGAAGATTTCGTTGTGCGACCCGTCGTTCCATACACTGACTGACTGGAGCGGGCCAACGAGCCCGCGCTTGCTGGTTTCGGAGTTTTCCACAAAGTCTTCCATTTCATCATCTTCTGCATCATCTTCCTCGTCATCTCCTTCGTCTAGATCGTCGATATCTTCCTCGTCACCCTCGTCTCCTTCTTGCCAATCGAGGTCCGAGTCATAGCCGTAATCGAGACCCGTAGCAGAAGTGTTCAAAGGTTGGGCTGGCGGAACTGAAGTGGAGAGGTGCTTTTCTGAACACCACGTGCCCACGTATGGAGGCTTGGCGTTTTCGTAAAATTGCAAATACTTCACGGGAGGCAAGTTACTGACCAATCCGAAAAGTGCCCCTTCGGTCATCTGCGACGAGTTGAGTGCATCCACCATTTGCTGGGAGCTTGTGAAAGACTTTGATTCCGTCGGTGGGGGGCTCTTGAATATTTCGCCGAGGTCAGGCGCAGCTTTCTGTTGGGTGAGGGCACAGTCAAATGCCAGTTTCGTTGCCGCTATTAGTTCGGGCTCAAGCTTTCTTTGTGGCGCTAGCAAAACATTGCGTTTCTGAAAAAACGGAAGAAAGTCAGTGATGTACGAGTCTGCTTCCGATGTATTGTTTAGTTCTTTGGCAGTCAGCGGGGGAGTAGCTGGTTTGCTTCGAGCCAAGGCAGAGGAAGCAGTGTTTGCTGCAGCCACTTCCTTCCTGGCAGGTTTCACAGCAAAGAAATTGGATATCTTCATCTGACTGCGGTCCTTCATCTCCTCGGCTTTCCTGCGTTCGTCGTCCTTCTGCCTGCGTTCCTGCTCTTTGGATTTGCGCTCCAATTCCTTGGCCCTTTTTTCCTCCTCGACTTTTAGTCGGCGCTCCTCCCGGCGGAGCCTTTCCTGCTCACGCCTTTCTTCTTTTTCCTTCTCGACTGCCTCTCGTTTCTGCTTTCTTTCTAGCTCTTTCTTCTCACGGTCCTCCTTCTTTTGTTTCCGCTCTTCTTCTTTTTTGCGCTCTCTCTCGATCCGCTCAACCTCTCGGAGTTTTTGCTTTTCAAGACGCTCTGCTTGTCTTTTAGTGAGTTTTCCTGGCTGCAGCTCCGTGTTGGAGGTTGTGTGGCCGAATTCGGCTTCTTCGGTTATTAGAGGAGATGCCAGCGAGGAACGAACAACAATTATTTCGCTGTTGATGTCAGGGTTTGGTCCTGTGCCGGGTGTGCCGGTGATGGAGCTGCGTAGGGACGTTTTGAGTCTTTTAGGCCGCAGATGTAAAGTCGGAGCATGAATGTCGTGCAAGATGTTCGGGACAGCATTTTCTTGCAGCTCCTCGGGGCTCATTCTTTTGAGCGGGGTGTCATGTGAAGCACCAGGGATACTGATTGACGGTGATATATTCGTATCTTTTGTGATGGATGTCTCGCTTTCCAAATAGGAGTTTGTGGCCTGACTTGGGCCTGTGGAGATTGAACCGTGAGCTTGTAAATTTTCACACTGCTTCTCAAAAGGCTCTTGGGTTTCTCCCTTCCCGGTGCATTCGGTGCTGGTTGTCACTGTTTCGTCAACGATACACGGGCCAAGACCTGTAGTTATGCATGTTTCTTCAAGGGCGCTTCGATTAATACACAAGGAGTCTCCGGCATTTTCCAGCATACCGGTCAAATTAGTCTCGACATTATCTTTATGTCCAGTAGTGTCTTGCATCGTACCTCCTAGCTGTGTGATAATTCGATACCTCGATGGGCCGGACCGTATCTGGTTTGGGTAAAATTACATGGACGCGTCGGCTGAGGTCAGTGCAGGAAAGCGATTGCAAAGGGTCGCCAATGAAGCATCCGAAAACAGGCTTGGCACCGACTTTGAAGCCAAATAAAAAGTGATATTATGGAAATATTTTTGGGCAGATCAGATCCTCCATGGCCCTAATTTCTTATGGATTTTTAGCTGGCCCACCCCCGAAGATGACCAGAAGGCAAAAAATCGCGGGCCTTATCCGATTCATTAATTTTCCAAGTTTAATCATGGTGAGGATAGCCAATATCAGTACTGACCAGATCAGGTAACAACAAAACAAAAGAAAAATGCCCGGCTTCAAAAGCAGTAAAGCAAAGCCGAGTAGACTGAATAGTGGAGAAATCCATAATTTTATCCTCATGGGCCACAGTGCAATATCTGGTGAACCCTGCGCATGAGGTCCACAATCTGGGAGGGGGAAAGTCACAAATACCACCACGTCTTGATGGAATTGTCCGGCTTGGATACTTGAAGCCACATGACAAAAAATTGCGGACAACTTTTTGCGTTTTCTGGCGACGCCTTTGCAATCTCAGCTCCAGGAAGTCAATCTGGTTATGAGGTCTCCCCCGACACGTCAACCCCACAGGAGTCAACCAATCCATATTAATTTTATAATAAAAGCTATTTATAACCTAATACTGAAATTTCTTTCAGAAAATCGACCCAAGCTCAACTCTTTCATCGATCTTACACGACTTTACATTGATTTAGGGATCTGCCATAGCCGGGCGCAAGGTTGGTGCCGAGACATTGTGCGCGACTCAGTGCCACCACTATCCCAGGCTTATAAACCGTTTCTCACCTCACCGATATCCCACCAGACGCTCATAGAACACACTTTTTTCCAAGATCCGCGGGACAGATCACATCTCGTTAGACGCTTTATTCTGAAATCTACTCATTCTGAATATTCTCGCGTCTGATGGCGCCTTCGTATACGATGCCAGGGTCTTTTCTCACCGAGCCACAAGACCATCCAAGGCCCGCGGTTCCGGGCCCATCTTCGCTTTTTTCTGACCAGGAGTCTTTGAATCTGGCTGTGGAAAGAGAGTTTCAGACGATTTTTGCTTCCAAGGAGCTTGGCGCTTCCAAAACAGCTGCACAGAAACATCTTATTGGACAGCTAGATACACTTACGTATCTCATTATAGGATACCAGTTTCTTAGGTACACCCATGGCTCGTGCATGCCACCAACATTGGCTCATCTCTTAGTGCAGTTTCTGCTTTACTCTCGCCACTTCACCGCCATGGGGCCGGGAAGTGGGCGCCAAATCTTTGCAGAATACCTCAACTCTCGAGAACAGCACTTCCAGGCCGCGGGCCTCTCATTCGACCGGCAGCAAATCATCGATTTCATTTTCCTGCGAATGCGCAATGTGATCCTATGGAAGTTCTTGGTATGCCTAGTGTATCACACGCTTCTCGTTGTGCTTTATCTTCGGCCTTTAGCGAACAAAGATCGCCTTCATTTCTTGCAGAACGGCTCCTGGTACTTTGTGTCTTTTGTGGGTGAAGAGATTTCACGTCACAACCTAGCTTCAAGTTCCTGGTGGCTCCAGCTCTGGCAGTTGGGACTCTTTGGCCTCTTGGGAATGGACGTGGTGATTTTGATCTTTCAGCTAATTTTGTACCAGAGCATATTTCTCCAGTCCACAATTTCGCCTAAAGGCCTTCGTCTTAACGAGGCTGAATGTGATATTCTAAGGGCTGAAGGCCCAGGTCCAGGTCTTGGAATCGACACAACTAGCGACGGCGTGCCTGACATCTTCCACATAAAGCTTTATGAGTCCTTGGGTGAAGACCCCTTGGCTGAGTTTGACTCATAAAGAGTCGCGTTTGTGAAGCTATGCATTACCAAATCAATAAGAGAAATTTATTGAACGAATGCAACGAGAAACAAATCTTGTATCTTTTATCGCGAACTTTAGAACTGGCTTCCGAAAGAAATTTGCGATGAAAGATCTGATACTCAATTTATTTTGGGGTTACGCATATGATCCCTTACTGTGAATATTGGTAATTCCTTAAGGTATCAGTCAATGTGCATTGCCACAACCATTCTTCCAGCTTGAAGTACATATAAAAAAAGCTATTGCAACAGAGCCATGCATGAAGTATGCTTTCGCCGCGGATCAACCTGCGGGAAATGAGAAACGTCTTTCTGTTTTAAATATCACATTAAGTAGAAAATAGTTTCAGGACCTCTTGACAACTGATAGATCAGCTTGTTAAATGACGTTGACGTAAGATTCCCACAAGAGCGTTTCAATAGCACGCCATCTTTGCTCATCATTCATGCTTTTTCCTCTCTGAACCCTATACAATTCGTTCCATAAATAAATATCCAGCTCACGTGCTAAATAAAAATCATGTGCTTTCACTTGCGCGCGCGGTATCGCCTAAAACCAAAAAAAGATTGCAGCACCACAATTTCGCATATGGTCTCCCACTACACTACTCAGTGTGGCCCTATGCAGCTTAACTAACGTTGATCGGACGGGAAACAGTGCTTCCTGCATGGTATGGCCGCAACCTTTTTGCTGTTATGATACGACATGAGCAAGATTATAGATTCTTGGCATCCTGTATAATACGAAGGACGAAGAGTCTAAACATTCCTGATCGGGGTTACCCCTCACCTACTGTATAGAAGGGTTCCGAACTATAAAGGAGCGTGAGGCTGAGACATCCCTGAAGGAGGATAACACTTTTTAGACATCGAGAATACGACAGATAGACTAGGCCTATCCACTAAGGCTGAACTATCTATAAACCGATCTACTCGTAGTTTAAGAGACAGCTCCAGGCTGTTTCATAATATTTGCTGATAGCGTGCTACATATAAAAAGATACAAAAACAATTATCTATTTTCTTGTTGATTTCATCAAATATTCATATATAAAAACCCAAATGGAGACTGGATATTGTTTGCCGAGCTTTACTATCAGGTGCATCATTCAGAGGGAAAGCAAAGTGATCTATCTTTCATTCATTTCATCACAT